GTTATTTTTTTAATATGAACTTGTTATCCATCTCTCATTCAATAATTCATGTTATGCAATTTAACATAATTCAAACCATACAACAGCTTTTTATTAAAAAAAAAAAAAACTTTTGTTCTTCTAATTTGTAGAGAATGTTTATTTTTTACATGGTCAAAGTTTAGCTGGGTGGTCTATTACAATTGGGGCGGGAGATTTCTCGTGATTTTTGACAGCGTGGATTATTCTCGTCTGTGGAACTGTCCAGCGTTCCATTAATGAAACAATCAGTAACGGGATACGAACGGTACGTGAGTCTCATGACATGTTGCCATTTAGTTCGCCCAATTGTTTAAATGACGCAACGTTTATGGGCTAACATATATTGTATGTTGGGGGTTGAAATCCTCAAAGAACAACATGTTTGAGGTCATCTTAGGGGATTAAGCCATTTGCAGATAACAAGATAGTAACAAATGTGTCTGATAAAAATGGCAAATCATGCAAACGAAAACCCTTGAACATATTGACGAGTTCCTCGGCCTAAATCAGTAGCATATAACCCCTCCAACTCTTTAACGGTGGCAATAAACGATCTTATTTGACGAGTGGCGTCCGCGATCTTTCCAAAACCAATTGAGTTGAATTCGTTGGGATCTAGGGCAATAGATAAGTCAACACTAAACACGAAAAAATTTAAAGGCATCACCTTCTTTACCTCCCCCAGAAGTTTATGAAATTTGCAGAGGAAAAATGCAAAAATTCTCAGATAGCTCTTAGGTTAAATTCCAAATTTAGTTCTTGAACTTTCAACTGTGAACAATTTTAGTTCATAAACTATGTTTTATGGAACACCTCTAACAAGGTTTAAAGCCATGATATGGACATTAGTTTTTTGCCTGTGCTTCTGGTAAGCCCATACGCCTGCAGCAGCACCCCCAACTAGAAGCTGTCCGCAAAACTCAATTTTATGTACAGAAAGACTCACTGCTAGCAAGTGTCAGTGCTGTTGATAGCCACAAAGGCTGCTGTCTGCATATCAAACTTTGGGGCATAAAGTACTGTCTCCCCAAAATCCTCTTCAACCTTTTTATAAATCTCTTTGTCAGTCCTTCCAGCTTGAATTTCATCACGAATCAACTGCAACAACAACGTTAGGATCAGAATTTTCTCATTTGCGAAGTTGCTATGAGATTACAAGGGAAGCATCAAGAAACTAAAATTATCTAGAAAGAGTTCAAAAATACAATTAAACCTTGACAACAATAATATCTTTAGGAGAGAAAGAAGTAAAAATAGTCAATTCACAACCCAAATTCCATCTCCGCAATGAATTAACATGGAAGAAGATGTGGTTTTAGTTGATGATAACTTTGGAAAGGTAGACAGAGCACCATAACTTTTATTGGATACCAAAAGTTGGGGTTTTATAGACAATAGAGAACATCAATATTGTCTAGGAGTAAGGCCAGATTGGTGGTGGGGCAGTCTGGAAATCAGCTTAAAGCTTTCTCCCACTCTACCACCTAAACTTGCTTACTTAAGATGCATCCAAATTTTTTTTTAATGCTGAACAAATTGAAATGGTTTATGTGAGGAATACACAAATATATTGCAATGCATAATAGCTCTGCCAATGGCCAGTTTAGGGAGCTAAAAGTGAAGGATAAAAGAATTGGATTTAACATTTAAATTGCTAGTAGCAGCTGAAATACAAGTTCTCATCATGATGAAAGATTTAAAAAACTAAAAGGCTTTTACATCGTGGAATATACATGGGCCGTGAACTGTGGTCTGAGAGAAATGACTACAAAATTGCTCTTGAAGTTAATAGAAGCTGATGGAAAGGCATCTAAAGAGGTGATTTGGAGATGTTAATGAATATAAAAAGACAAGGAGATAAAAAATACAGGCATCTTGCTGGAAACAAATAAGTGGTGTCATTTGCAACTACTTTAAACAAACCTTTTTGCCACCTGTCATTTATGTAAATAGCTAATTAACCAACCTGATGGAGATGAACCAGTTCTACTTTATTGCACAAGAAGCCCCAGAAGTTTCTCGACATATAATCCAAGAATTAGGTGGTTTAGCAATGGCTGAAGTTGTAAATTTTTGGCAGCCAGTAAACTATTAGCCATGATGAAAGAAACAATCTGGTTGTACAGGAGATCCTTGATCACTTGGATGTGAAAGAAAAAAGTTACCTTTCTGAGGAGAATTGCAATATCTGCCTGTGAATCTTCAATAGATTGACTTCCACACTCTGTATAGTGAACATTGTGACTTATATTTCTTGCTTGGGCTTCTACTACTTGGGTCTTCTTCAACTCAAATCATCTTTTCTCTCCATTGCCAATGTATATCACCTCAACTTCAAAGTGACTATAGAAAACATCATGAGAATAACATTACCACAAAAATAAAAGATAAAAAGAAAAAGAATCTTTTAGAGCTAAGTCAGGTGTTTTTTACCAGTGAGGCATGTTTTAAAAAGCTTGCCATGGGAAGAAAAGAAAAGAAAATAAAAATCTAACCAAATAATCAGAAGAGAAACATAACACTTTTCTTCAGATATGAGTATTTAAGTACCAAACTTGTCACTCAAGTATATCTCAAATTACGAACAATACCAAATACTTAATTGATTTGACCAAGTGCATTCAATTGTACGTAAGATGACTTCTTATTTTCTTTTATAGGACCTAAGTAAGTGTTATCTTATTCTGATCCTATTTTAAAGAAAAAAGAATGTAACTTATCTCCCCCCAGACTCTGGTTCTATTAAGGGCACACAGTTCATTGAGGCATTTCATCAAACAATAAGCAGCACATTCTTATCCGGTTAAAACACAGAAATAACCAGGATTTAAGTACCCTTCCAGACGAGAATACATTTCTTCATAACCCATGACATAATTTCGTCTT